TAGCCAAGACAATCTTAAGAAAGAACAAAGTAGGAGGACTCACACTTTCTGATTTCAAAACTTACTACAAAGCAACAGTAATCAAGACAGTGAGGAACTGACATAAAGATCAATAGATAGAACTGAAAGTCCAGAAATAACCCATGTGTCTATGGTCAACTGATTTTCTACAGGGATGTCAAGAGCATTCAATGGGGGGATGAATAGTCTTTTCAACAAATGGTGCTGGGACCCTGGATAGCCACATGCAAAAGAATGAAATTAGACCCCTACCCTCACACCATATAAAAAACTAACTAAAAAATGGGGTAAAGATCTAAGTGTAAGGGCTAAAACTATAAACTCTTAGAAGAAAACACAGGAGTAAACCTTCATGATCTTGGATTTGGCAATGGCTTCTTAGATATCACACAAACAGCATAAGCAGCAAAAGAAAATTGGTCGGTAACCTGACTTACTCATGACAAGCAATTTTCTCTTAGGTAAAATAAGAGTCTTCTTCATATCTAAAGACTTTACACTGAAACTTCTCTCTAACCTTATTTTTTTTTTTTTCCTATTTGATACTCATTTTTGTCTCGAGTTTCTGTAGTACTTTAATGATGTAAGTTTCTCTTTTTTAGGGGGATAGGGAGTGCTGGACTTGGTGCTAATATGCGCAGAGTCCTGGCAAAAGTTTCATTAATTTACTTCTTTTTCTTCTGATCACTATATGGCAGAGAGTGTATGAAAAATTTATTTTTTATAAACATACTTTAATCTTTGAAAATTTCTAATGTAATATTTTCATTTTTAAATGTTAGACTAAAAGAAAATAGCACATTTTAGTTACCAGATTTATTTATGTATGTTTCTTCCTCAATTTGGGACAAATATTTTCCTATGATTTCAGTATCTGGATCAACTTATTTTTCTACTCTGAAACAGTATGTACCAGGAGCTTTGGAATCATCAGTTTTATTATAGGAGGCAGAGAGATTTCTTTTCTCTATATTATCCACACCACACAAATTAGAGTTCAGAAAATACCCTTGCTTAAAGATCAGAATTACCTGGGCCTTCTCATTTAGTATTGTCTGTGTTAGGTAAACTAAAGCTAAGATAAAAGCATAAGTAGATGCATTTTTCAGAAAAGAATCTTTTCATTTGACTTGAACCAAGTCAAGGAACACTAAAGCAAGATTTTAATTGGTCACTGGATGATATGAAAGTATGGGTCACTATCAGTTCCACAGCAAACAGAAGGAAACCAGACGAAAGCTTGCAGAACAGCACCCACCCAATACAGTGTGCACACACAGGTACTATGGGGGTCATATAGTACATAGCTCATATGAACATAGGTATATTTAAAGGAAGTGATCACAGTTGTTACAGCTGTCTGAAGGCTGATAGTGAAGAGAAGCAATTTGAGCGGCAGATTCTTGGGAAACCTACTGGCTTACTTTTTGGTAGGCTTTGAGCTCTTAAACCAGACCCTTCTTTTTTTTTTCCTGTTAGGTGCCTTTAGAAGGTGCTCCCAACACTTATCTACTCAGGGTATTACTTTATTGTTTAAAATTATTTCTAATTGTCTCTATTTATTATAATTTTTTCCCCTTAGTGCCTGTTTTTTTTTTTTTTAAATTTAATTGAGTGATCTTTTGGCTCCAAGCTGCTCATATAGCAGGGGTTATATGAAGCTACAAGTTAAACCTGAAGTGTCTTTCCAGAGGATTTATTTTAAAAATCTGGGAAGAAAAACATTATAGAGTAGTGGTTAAAAGTGTGGGCTCTGTTGTCAACTTCCTAGGTTAGAATCTCGACTCTGCCACTTGTCCTTCAGTAAGTTACCTAACCCATCTGTTCCTAAATGTTTGAATCTGAAAATAGGGATACTAATGCCTACTTTATCATTGGTTGTGAAAAATAAATGAGCATTCAAAACAGAGCCTAGCACATAGAAAAGCTTTTAGCAAGCACTTAAAAAAGGCTTTTAGCAAGCTGATCCCAGGCTCATGGCTATCCCATGTGTGTCAGAGTAGAACAGTACTCCACTGGGTTTTCAATGGCTGATTTTTGGGAAGTAGATCGCCAGGCCTTTCTCCTGAGGTGCTTGCCCCTGTGTGAACTTGAACTGTCAACCTTTCAGTTAGGAGATGGGTGCATTAACCATTTGTACCACCCAGGGAGTTACTGTATATTTTAATACTAGATTATTCAATTTTTTTCCTTGAGCAAATACAAGTAGCGAGAGACAGAACATGCTGGGGCTGGGGGAAGGGGTCTACACTGAGACCAGGGAAGGCCTCACTGAAAAAGACTCAAAAGAAGTTAGGGCGCTAAGTGTGGATTTCTGGGAGAAGAGAATTTCAGATAGAGGGAATAGCAAATAGAAAGGCGCTAAGGTATGCCTTCTATGTTCAAGGAATAGCAAGAAGGCCAGTAGGGAACGGAGTGAGTGAGTGGGGTGGTGAGTAACAGGAAAAGAGACTGCGGGCAGGGGGCAGCAGACCATGCAAGCCTTGTAGCTTTTACTGTAACAGCCATAATGTGCAGAGGATGATATGACTGACTTACGTTTTTAACAGTATCTCTCTGGCTGCTGAACTGAAGGCAGACTACAAGGAGGTAAGGATGAAAGCTGGCATATGAGTTAGTAGATAACCCAAAAATCCACCTGAGAGATGATGGTGGCCCAGACCAGAGTGGTGACAACGGGGGTGGTAAGAAGTGATAGAATTGTTGATATATATTTTGAACACTAAGAGTTGACAAGATTTGTTGTCAAATTAGATGTGAAATGTGAGAGAAAGAGGGAAGCAAGGATGTTTCCAAGGTTTCTAGCCTAATAGCTAGAATAATTAAGTAGTCATTAACTGAGATGGGAAGACTAGCTGCAGGATCAGTGAGTTGTGGGGAATGTCAGAAGCTGTTTCAGACATAGTAAGTTTGAGATGCTTATTAAACATTCAAACGGAGATATTATATAGGTAGTTAAATAAACTGGCTTAGAATTCAGGGAAGAAGTGCAGATTAGAGTTACAAATTTGGGAGCCATGAAGCTGAATGAGATCATCTAGGGAACAGTACAGACAGAAAAGACATCCAATAATTAAGCTTTGAGGCTTTGATCTCACTTGTTAACAGAAGTGGAAGACAAAGAGACGGCAAAGAGGTGAGCGCAAACTAGCAATGAAAAAAAGGAGAGGTGGAAATCCTGGTGCAGTACCCTAGAGGCCAAATGAGCAAAATGTTTTCACAGAAAAGGGATGATGGATTGTGTCAAATGCTGCTGATACAGACCAGAGAAGATGAGAGTTGAAATATGACCACTGGATTTTAGTAACAATGCTGTCACTGAGGATAAGAGCAGCTCTGGTCGACTGTAGGAGGTAAAATCCTGAGAAGAGTGGATTCAAGAGAGAATGGGAAGAAACTGGATAGCAAGTTTAGGCAACACTTTATTCTCACATTCCAGTTAAATATGAATATCTTATGCCTACTTCACCTGAAAATCTTCCTTATCAAATTATCTTCATAAAAATTTTACTCTCCAGTTAACGATCAGCAACTATCTAAATATATGAAATCTGTTATTTTGAGAGAAGAAGAGAAGAGGACTTGGGGGGAGAATAGGAATTAAAAATCAGTAGAATAAATAATGCTATATTAAAATTCATGTACTGCTGAAACTAAACAAAGATGATTCCAGTTAGTCGCAGATATACAGAAAATAAAGTTTTAACAATTCTGCAATTGGAATCACCCAGGATCTTGAACACATACACATGCACACACACACTTGCAAGAATCTATGCCTCACCATTCAGAGACTCTGAATGGGCCAGGGCCTGGGTATTTTTAGCTTTTGAAAGCTCCATAGGTGATCACGTAATTTGAAAGCACCACAGCCCAGCTTGGGTTGAGAATCACTAGACTATAACTGCTTAAAACATAAAATAAACCGAAACAATCAGACCCCACTAACAAACTCAGCAGTAAAGTCACTGCATTAAAAGTTTTTAAAAGGACAAGTGGTATTGGAGGCAGTGGGGGAGCTGCATGCTGAATGGGGGTGCCTTTATATTTTCCAAGCTACAATTACACTTGGAACAACTCAGTGGGGATACAAATATGACTAAGATATATCCTTGCTCTAAAGGATTCAGTTAACCTACAAACTTTCATCAATATTCAAGAAATACTTATCCTCCAACTTCTGTTCTGAATGAAGTTTCCAACTGAAGATTAAATTATTTCAGGAGTTAGATAAAACATAGCACGGAAATTGTCTCTACTTGAATCAACACAGATATAATTTAGTATTATCCTAATACCAACTAGTCTATTTCAGAAAAGGATAATCAACTCAGACAGATTTAAAACCAACTTTCTTATCCACAATTCCAATTAAAAAGGAACGTTGCATTAACTGACATTTAAGGGAAAGTGAAAAAGACAAGTATAAGCAACAGGAATTCAAATTTCTCTTTGAGTTAAATTATTCCAGGACTTATACAGCAATTTTGACTTTGATATGACTATAACATTATAAAAATAAAGAGAATTCTTGGTTAATTCTTCAAATATCTGGTCAAAAAAGGTAAACTTATCATAGTAGTCAACAGTCAACTAATCTCTTATTAAAATCTATGTTTTTTTAAATTTAAAATCTATGGATTTTTATTTGCAGAAATTTTAAAGAGAAAGTCAGCATAACCACAGGTAAAAGATTAACGTAAAAGAAAGTGTTATAAACATAAACACCCCAAATGCAGAGTTGATTATTAGGAAGATCTGATAACTCTATTTTTCAAACTTCATTATATGATAATAAAATTCAAATCAAAAATTTATGTGGATACTCTCAAATGTTCTTAAGATAACATTATTTGGGGCAACACTTAAAAAATATCATTAAAAGATGAGATAATAATGCTGATCTCCATTTCTGCTGTGAAATCAAATATATGCCAGTAATCCCAACATGGAAAACTATCCCACTTTGTGTTAATTACCTTGTGTGTAGGCGGCATCATCAGATCCCATACTCAATTTCCGGGCTTCACTTATTCTATCCACATGCGCTAAAGCAGGGTCCGCGAGGTGCTGAATGTTTTCTGTTTCTACATAATGATCAGGATGGTTTAAAAGATTTGTAAGTTCAAAGGTAGGGGACACCACCCCTGGTGAAACTGCAGGGGGCTTATTGGGAGAAACTGTAATTTTGAAAGTATACTTTGTATTGGGTTGAGTGACCACCACTCGAGGAGAAGTTGCAGAGTTATTGCCTATTGCTCGACTTTTGGGAGGGTGGTGATGAATAAAGGCAGGACCCATGCTCACTTGCCCAGACATATTCCTGGAGGCAGCAGATGCTCCAGAGTTTGTGGATATGAAAAGGGTGGGCTGATTCCGCATGACCTGTTCCTCTCCTGCAGTGGCATTGGCTGAAATATAGACCTTGGGTTGACCACGGGACATCACCTCATCGGTATTTGGGGGGCTGGCAGCTATGTAAACAGTGGGCTGATTTCGATTTAAGGTCTGGCTGTTGACCGAAGAGGAACTGCTGGAGGTTCGAGATCCAGAGGAACGCAATTTTGAAGAATTGTTTCTTTGTGGGGGTTCAAGTTTGATTTCAATCTGGTTTTTTCGAGGTCCTGTTGAAATATTCTGAATGTTGTATTGGCTGTGGGCAGAAGACTGAGAGCTACCCGATGAATGAATCGTTGGTGGTTGTGGCGTAGTAGGTGAACTGATGGGCATGTAGACGTGAGAGGTCTGGTGGCCTTGCTGATTTGGCTGCTGGGCTGAGGTATGTGACAGAGGATTAGATGTAGGGTAAGTAGTCCAGGGACCAGGTTGTGAAGGTTGATAGACTTGCTGAGGGTTCATGGGATTAAATTGAGATACCCAGCCAGAATGCTGTTGTGTCTGTCGAGCTGTACCACTAGGAGTTGTAATATAAGGCCTAATATAGATAGAATTTCCCTGTGGACTGTTAAGTACAGGTGGAGGTACACCATGTATGTGCAAAGATGTAGGAGTATTACGACCAGTCTGGATATTTGGGGCTAAAGTTACCATAATGGGATTAAATCTGGGAGTCTGTTGAGAAAGATTAGATGTTCCTTTGCTGCCTAAGTGAAATCCAAGATGTGGTGCTGAATTTGAAGCACCAGATGCACTGGACATTCCAAAAACATTAAAACCTTGAGGAACTTGAGCTGGTGCTGTCTGTGGCTCCTGCTGAAATAGTTCATTATTGGACTGACCACCTTGAAGTTGTCCATCACTGATGCTGTGCGTTAGGGTCCTACTTCCATTCATTCTATTTCCTTCTCTTCCATGATGGTAAACATTCTGTGATTGCAAGTCCAAGTTGAGAGAAGTCATGTGATTGCGTAGACCAGAAATTCCAGAATCATCCGAAAAATTCAAGTCTCCTTCACCATAAAGATATCTTGTACTCTCCTGAGAGAGAACTGCACAGCAGGCATCCAGGTTATTATTATTCTATAAAACAAAATAAAAGCAGCTTGATGTTAACAGTCAGAAGCTAATGCTTACACTGTTATCACTACTAAAATATTATGTGATTAACAAGGGATGGGTTAATACAATTATAACAGATGTATCTGAACCTTTTTTATTTGAAAAGAACTATTTATATGCAAATAGTTGAATTAAAACTTCTCACTAAGTAATGGAAAAGCTCTCTGACTAGCAATAGCAGAAAGTGAAACAAATCATTGTTCTGTTTTAGGAACTATTTTTGAGTAAAAATGGATTCATGAAATACAGTAAATTATTGGTGAACAATGTAATATAAATATCAAACAAATCATTCAACTTTAAGTATATAACACTGTATAATTAAACTTTAAAAAAAAGTTAACAATATAATTTAACATTTCTAAAAGTATTTGGAAGAAAATGTTCTATTGGTGCTTGCATGTTCAAGTGCTATATAAACTCTTTTAAAGTAATGATCTTTAAAAAAATTATATTTGTAATATTTAAATTAAAATATTTAAACCTAAAATCCATACCAAAGTCATCTCAATTCCTCAATGCTTCCTCTTGTGTAAAATATAAATATATATGTGTAAATATATATATGAAATACAGGCTCAAGGCAGCCTCCAGCATAATTTAGTTCTTATCTCTACCTTTAGATAGCACCATACAAATCTACTCCAAAGAAATGAAAAACCAGACTGTTTTGAAAAAATCCTCAAAAGAGACTGTTAACCACTAGTCATAGATCATCCATAAAAACATTTACTGAGCACTTATATGGGCAGCACTCTGTTCAAGGGCATGGAAGACTTAATGACATATAAAGCCTAACTTTTCCCTTAGAAAAGCTTGAAATTGAACTAGGGAGACAAATCATGCATTCTTGAGAAGGTAACATTATTAAAATGTGAGTATCTGCCAAATAAGAGGTGGCAGTGAAGTTCAATAAAGAGAGTTAATACTTTAGGCCACTGTAGAAAGGACTGGGTTAATGAAGGAGGAATGGCCTGATGGGTTTCACAGAATATATTAGATTTGGATAGGAAAAAAAAAGAGGAAGAATTCTTCGTGAAGGGAATGGCATGAGTAAAGTTATAAATGTGATAGTAAAGTAAAAAAAGCAAACACATGTTTTGAACAAGATGGTTGGAACAGATATGGCTGGAGTTAAAGGTTCACATCGAAAATTCTGTGGAACAAACTCATGGACAAACAAATTGGGATTAAATAATGAAGGATTCTGAAAAACGAGTCACACTGGAGTTTGGACTTTATTACAGGCAGTGGGAAGTGCCACTGAAAGTAAATGGACCAAGAAATAAAGACATAAAGGATATTTTGGGAAGATAAGTCTGTTGATACTTAGGATGATTAGCAGAGGGAAAACCTTTTGACAAGAAGACCTCAGAAGACATGAAATAATGAGTTTCGCCAGGGGAAATGAATTACAAAAGCAGTCAACACAATTTGGCCACAAGACAGAAAAATTCAGAGAGGACTGGAAGATCAGGAGCCTGATGGGAAGAGGACAATGTTAGACATCAAAAGTGAATAACCAAATCAAAACGTCTACAGGTTTGATATGAGACAAAATCTTATTAGAAAGAATTGGACTAAAAAGGCATCTCAAAGTCTTGTTAAGAAATAAACAAGTAACACAAAAGAAAACATTAGTGAGTAAGGCTTAACTTTGAATAACCAACAATTTAAATGTTCCGTGTTACCAAAATTCATCTATCTTACTCACAACTCTGAACTGATATATCCTAGTTTTTGAAATAATATTTAAAAATTGATCACAATCTTTATCAACGGATTACTCCTCGATCTAGGCAGGCCTTAACTTTTGCCAAACTTAATTGGTGCTTTTTACTTCAGGCTAACTTTATTGATATTCCTAGTAAATTCTTTTCCCTTCTTAGCCATAACTTACAGAAATCCCATTCTTCCTCTAACCTCTCAGTCAACAATGCCTAATTAAAATGTATATTCCCTATCAAATTAAATCCCCCACTTTGTTTTTAAAAGCACGATGCTCACATTTTCAAAGTCTTCCTTTCATGCTCTCGTGCATCACACAAAGAGGCACACAATGTCTGCCTGTCTCTTTGCGATATTAAAACTGACTGGTGGATTCAGATGTTGCAGGCTTGATCCATCTAATGATTTTAGCAGCCACATCACTGTTTAGAACCCCTTCAGGTGGACTCCTGTGTACATATGGCATGAACCTAGCAGTCTTTCATAGCTTCCTTGCTTTCCGATGATGACAAGATGTCCAAGCTCATCTTGTACATTTCCTGCCTTAGATTTGATATCAGCCATTTCTCTAAGGATCCCTGGTTACTTTTAGTGGGAAACTGTATTTTGAGAACTCCCTTTTAGTGTATCAAAAGGAGTGGGATACGAGTTTAAAAAAAAGGTTGAGAATCTTTTTTTCTTTTTTTAGCCACCATCTGCATTCCCTTCATAGCTACAAAGTCTGTATCATTATTTCCAGTTCCTCTTTAATTTTCCCCAACCTCCTTGCACAGACACAGAAATTACACATAGTATCACAGTATACCCTACGATCATCCTTCTCAAACTGTGATTCATCTACTCCTTTAACCAACATTCACTGAGTATCCATTAGGCAAGTAGAAAGGAACATAATCCCTGTTCTCAAGGATCTCAGTCTTGTGTACACAAATAAATGTAAGGCAGAATGACAGATGTCATTATGTTGTTGTTAGTTGCTGTTGAGTCAATTCTGATTCATGGTGACCCCATGTGTGCAGAGTAGAACTGCTCCATAGGGTTTCCAAAGCTGTGATCTTTTGGAAACAGATCACCACGCCTGCCTGGGGTTCTGGGTGGATATGAACTGCCAACCTTTTGGCTATCAGTTGAGCACTTAAATATCTGTGCCACTCAGGGACTCCTAGGTGTCATCAAGAAACATATATAAGGACTAGGAGTGGAGTTTATCTGAGAAGGCTTCAACTAAGGTGATGGCACTTAAGACACCAAGTTTTACAAATAATGAATAAACAATATTTAACACGTTATTCTGAAAAGATATATAAAGTAGCAAATTTTAAACATACAGGTGTGATCATATTTAAAAAGTAAAAACAGCAAAATAGAACTCAATTAAAAAAATCAAAGTGCCAACTACACAATATTTTCACACTGTCCAAGATTAAGATTTAATTACCAAATATACAAATAAATTTTAAAGATATAAATTACATCTGCTGATAATACAGCTATCTTAGAGAATCTATAACATAAGGAAATGATGTAAATAGTTCCAAAATGGGGGGTCTAAGCAGTAAATAAAGCCAAGAAGAGAACAACAGAGGATGGATACTTCGGTTCTCCTAAGAAGCAAATCGTTTAAGAAGGAAATTTATATACAGAGTGAAATGGTAGTATGGCATGATCACTTAACTCTAATTTCTTATATTGTATGTACTATGATTTTTCATCTAGAAAAAGTTCCATATCAGAATACTTATGTGGGGATCTCTCGATAGAAAGGACAGAAGCCTGATCAATTGAAAAGGGAGAGCAGTCCCTAAAAGTGAGGCTATTACCAAATAAACAGATGTTTATACAATTAGAGAGATGAATTTACCTTTACAGGTAACACTGAGTTTCTGTTTATGGCGATGGAAAATTTGGCAATGGATATAATGGATACTGGTGATGGTTACACAACATGATTAATGTAATTGGTGTCACGGAATTGTACACATGAAAGATGATGAACTGGCAAATGTGTTATCTATATTTTCACAATTAAAAAATACACCAAGTGTGATGTACATATACCCTAGCTGTATCCCCAGAGGAGCCCTCCTCATTCCTTTGTCATATTTCTTGTTATATCAGCTAAAAAGCACATTACCTGGATACCCAGATGATTATGAACTCAATTTAGAAGACTGTGGTCGTCTCATGGGTAATTTGCAAGCAAACAGATTTCATTTCATCAAGCATACCATAGGGGGTTTGTTTTTGGTAAAATCAGCTTAACACAGTGATATTACTGGATGCCCAAAGGAAATTCAAAATGATCTATTTTCTGTTTTTTGGTAAAGCTGAAAAACAGGCTTAATCACTTTATTTATTTTTTGAATAGGTAATTCATTTACACAGATCAAAACAATAGAAAAAAATACACTGAGAAGTTTTATGCCGAACTGTCCCCATCAGGCCGGTTCCCTCTTGCCTACTGTAGGTAGCCATCTTTATTAATTTTATTTTTGATCCTTCCAGTATTTCTTTGGATCAGGCAGTGTTTCGTTCTGTTGTACACAGGGTCGCTATGAGTCAGAACTGACTCGACGACAATGGGTTTGGTTTTTTTTTTAGGTTTTACTACTACCACTGCTATTAGTAGTGGCTGCTAACAATTACTGAGCACTCATAATGAAACAGGTACCCTAACAGCTGCTTTACATGCATTGTTCATATTTAATTCTCTGTGAAGCTTTTTTTACTCCCATTGTACAGGTGAGGAAAATGAGGGTCAGGGAGGCTAATTAAGTTACTGCTAGTAACTGTCAAAATTTGAACTCAAGTTTGTTTACCACCAAAACATATGCTCTTAGCCACTATACTATAGAAATAGCCAGGCATGTCTGGAGAATGCCAAGTAGTTCAGGGTGACTAAGAGGAGGAGGGACTGGACAAGAGATCAAGCTGTAGAATGCGACAGGATTCCAGACCATAGCCCTAGCCAGGATATACAGACTTTATTCTGAAGGGTATGGAGACATAAAATTTTCATTTATAAAGACACTCTGGCAGAAGTGAGGAAGATGGATCCAAGAGGCCAAAACTGGGTTACACTATAGGTGGGTAGAGCAAGTAAAAGTATAGATAAGGGTAACAGGAGCATGAACAAAATGTAGCCACGTGGTAGCAACATAGATATTGAGCCTCTTGGAAATTCCACACAATTGTAAACTTCAAAAATCATCTGTCCAGAGTAAATACATCTGACTGAGCCCAAAACAGTTTTTATGACTCTGTTTTAACAAGCTGAAAAATCATTTTTGTTAGAAAAATCTCCCATTTAATTAAATGGGAAGACACATCTATCACTAAGTATTTAAAATTACAGGGTTTCTAAAATTTTGTATACCAAGAAGAAAGTAAAAATTTATCAGAAGCTTAGTGACATTAATTGGAAAACTTACAAATTAAGTAAAAATGATAAAAACAGGTTTCTTCTTTAGAATTGGGACCTTCAGCACCATCCAGTCAAACTCCTTCATTTTATACAGTAAAGTACAAAGACAGCATGTAACTTGCTGACTACACCTGGGGTGTGCATTCATTAGAATCCAAGTTTCCTGACTCATTATTTAATGCTTTTCTCACTTTCATGTGATGATCTGGAATTTTAAAAAGTTGTTCAGGCAAAACAGGAGGGAGAGAAGTGAAGTGAGCTCACAGCTAGTAAGCATCGACCATATATCAATGCTTACATTTGGATCTATATAAAAATTCTCATACCTATGGTATTAGCCATAAAGTACACATGGGGTACGGAGAGTCTAAACAACCTGCCAAAGGCCACCTGACTGCTGGACACCAAAGCCCACATCTTCTCATTATAGCACACTAATTCCAACAAAGAGATAAAAGAGTTTTCTTCCAGTATCTAAAATAAATACCAGGTTTGTATTAATAAATGCAGAAATCATTGAACACTGACCTGTAACATGCACCTGGATACAACAACTTCAGGTACTTCAGGAAATTTTTGTCGCAGGTCATGTAAAACCTGAAAATCAATTTGGTGGCTTCCTTGGGCCATTCGTATATTGCCTGATCAGGACTATTGTATAGTAGGCAATTCTAGGCCTTAGTGGAAACAGTACTCATCTCTTCTGTCCAAGCATTTTCTGTGAAAGAAAAAAGAAATTTTAATGAGCACTGATTACAGCATAAATATTGTTGTGGATTTAAAATTTCAATACAAAAGGATATGTGCCTTAGCATCTAACATTTACTATAAACTATAAATATATTATTTAGGTCTATAATGTTTTCCAGATAGTTACAGTCTTTTCAGTTTGTAACTCCTGATGGCAACTTTTATACTGTCTAATTCCTTGATGTCCACACCCTCTATAATGGCTATGCCAAAAGGCATTCATATATGAAATTACTGCCAAGGTTGTCCTCCCTCATTCTTTTAAAAGGGAAGAATGAATATCGATTTTTTTTCTTAATGATTAGAGGACAGCCTGAGCTGAGTAATTCAATTTGCTTTATTTAAAATTCTTAGTATGTATCCTGAAAACATGCGGTTCTACAAATTACTTTGCAGGTTTTGTCTAAAACTTAATGATCTATAACACAATAGTTTGAAATTTCATCTTAACTTTCAGATATATTTAATACTTAAATGCATAATCAATTCACTCTAAGCGGCTTAGCAGCATTTTATTCCCTCTGCTTCTATTAAATCAGTATTTAAAAATACTAATGCTTGGGCCCCAACCCTAGAGACTTAATTGGTCTGGGGAGTGGTCTGGGTATACTGACTTTTAAAAGCTTCTCAGGTAATTCTTATGTGTAGCCAAAGTTGAGAACTACTGCCTTATTTTTATTTCTAATGATCCTAATGTAAACCATGTTTAATCTTAAAAGTTCCTTTGGGATATAAATAAGACATAAATACATTTAACCTAAATAACATTAAAAATATTTAAAATCTATGTCATTTGATTAATAATTAAAATACATTTCATATCAGGGTTAAGAAGCTAATCTTTTTAAGGTGAATTTTGTATCTATAATATTTCTCTTTTATCTCTTTAACATAAGCTTAAAAAAGTAAAGACTGTAACTCACAGCTCCATGAACATAGAGATTAGGTCTCTCTTGTTCATTGTGTATCTAGCACTTTGAAGAGTCTTCAGCGTAAGAGCAGATATTCCACTTTTTTTTTTTAAAGTAGACTTAGTTATGATAGAACTCCTGAGTCCTCAACGGAACAAAAGCTTATTCAGATATCATGTACAGTCAACTTTAGCTCTTTATTCTCAGTTGACTATATTTTCTTTTCTCTACGTGACTTCAGCTTAGTTACATCTCATATGTTTAAAACCACTGCCAACCAAGTTATCTGCATTATAAATTTCCCAAACCACTTTATTTCTATGTAACACACACACTCTCTCTCAAACACACACAATTTTAGCACTCAAAGTAGTGTTTCTATAAATAGGCTGCAGGAGAAAGGAGATGTAGTACTGAAAATTAGTAAATAATACCAAAAAATAATAAGGGCTGATACACATGCTACAATATTGCTCATCTTAAAAACCTGCCCTTGACTCCACCACCCTCTCCAGCTATCAGCCTATTCCTCTGCCCACATCCTTTTGGACAAAAACTGCTTGCAAGAGTTGTTTATACTCAGCGTCTTCACCTCCTCCCCTCTTAACCTCTTTTAAACCTATCCCAATCAGGCTTTCATAGCCTTTCTCCACTGAAATTACACACTTATCAAGGCTGCCAGAATCTCCCAGGTTGTCAAATCCAATGGTTCCCAGTCTCTTACTAGATCTCTTGGCAGTTTATGACACAGTCAAAAATTCCTCATTCTTTAAACAATTTCTTCATATGACTTCTGTGATTTATACTCTTCTAGCTGTTCCTTCTCAGTTTTCTTTGCTGCAGCCTTCTCCTTTCCTAGACATCTGTCATGGATTGAATTATGTCCCCCCCCTCCCCGCCCCCACAAATGTGTGTATCAATTTGGCTGGACCATGATTCCCAGTATTCTGTGATTTTCCTATATGTTGTAAATCCTGCCTCTATGATGTTAATGAGGGAGGATGGGTGGCAGCTGTGTTAGTAAAGCAGGACTCAATCTACAGGGTTGGACTGTATCCTGAGGCAGTTTCTTGAGACATAAAAGACAGAATAGAGCAGAGAGACAGGAGGACCTCATACCATCAAGAAAGCAGTGCCGGGAGCAGAGTGCGTCCTTTGGACAGGGGTCCCTGTGCCGAGAAGCTCCTAGTCTGGGGCAACATTGATGAGAAGGCCAAGAGAGAGAGAGAACCTTCCCCTGGAGCTGACACCCTGAATTTGGACTTTCAGCCTACTTTACTGTAAGGGAATAAACTTCTCTTTGTTAAAACCATCCACTTGTGGTATTTCTGTTATAGCAGCACTAGATAACTAAGACAACACTAGATAACTAAGACAACATTTAAATGTTGGAGGCCTATGGAGTACAGATCTAGGGTTTCTTTCCAAGTACACCTAAAGTCCTCTTCAAAGTAATTTCATTCAAACAGTACTTTAAACAGCATCTATATTCTGAGATTTGGCAAATTTATATCTCCAACCCCAATCTCTCCCTTGAGCTCCAGACTAATATATCCAACTGCCTACTTGACATCTCCTTTTGGATATCTAAAACTCATTTCAAACTTAGTATGTCCAAAATTGTACTTTCATTTCCCCTCCCCATTCAATCCAACTCTTTCCTTGTCTTTTCCATCTCAGTGAATGCTACCATTCATCCAGTAAGCCTTTCTCTCACATCACACAGCTAATCCACCATCAAGTCTTGTTGGCCGTTTCTGCAAAAATATTCTGAATCTGACCATTTTTCCCCACCTCTGTTGCTGCTCTTGTCTAAGCCACTATCGTAACTCACCTAGACTACTACTGCAAAGGGGGCAGTGATGGTGCAGTAGAATTCTCACCTTCTATGTGGGAGACCTGGGTTCAATTCCTAGCCAATTCATCTCATGTGCAGCTACCACCTGTCTGTCAGTGGAGGCTTGCAAGTTGTTATGATACTGAACAGGTTTCAGTGGAGCTTCCAGACTAACATGAACTAGAAAGAAAGTCCTGGTAATCTATTTCCGAAAATCAGTCAATGAAAACCCTGTGAATCACAACTGTCTGATCTGCAACTGATCAGGGCATGGATGGTGCAGGACTGGGCCACGGTTTATTCTGCTGCCGATGGGGTTGCCAGCCAGTCAAGGCTTACTCGACACACAGTCGTCAACAACACTACTGCAAACTGGTCTCCTCTCTGCCTTCACTCCTTGCTACCCTCACCGCCTACCCCCATAGTCTTTTCTTTACCTAACAAAGTGATTTTAATATAAAAGGTACATCACAGCAATCATTCCCTTTACTCAAAATTCTCCACCACAAGGTTTCTGGCTAACTTAACCCAATGCTGTCGAGTCGATTCTGACTCATAGAGACCCCATCATACCCTAACTTCATCTACCACTCTCCTCTTTGTTCCCTCAGTTCCAACTGGCCTTCTTTCTCAAAGAAGCCAATCTCATTCCTCCCTTAGGGCTTTTGCTCTTGCTGTTTCTTCTGCTGGGGATAGTCTTCTCTCAGAAACCTGCGTGGCCCCCTCTCTTACTTCCTTAGTATTTCTGATCAAACGTCACCACCTCAGAGACAGCTTCCCTGGCCAACCTATCTCAAATAATGCCACACTTCTGCCCCCAATGCCATCACCTCCTCCTACCCTGCTTTTTCTTCACAGCAGTGGAAAACGCTTCTCTGGAAAATGAAGATTTAGCTTTATAACTCAGTCGCTACCCACATATACCATACTTCCCCAGTGCATCCGCCCAATTACTTCACAGTTTTTTGCTTAAATCAGTATTTAGTCTGAGGAAGTTAAAAGAGAGAGGAGAAAAAAGTGAATTGGATGGCAGATAACAGAAGGACAACCAGAAAGCAGCACAGAAATAAAGCAATGAAGAAACATATATTTAATAGAGGATTTCCAGATGGAAAGAGTCAAGAGAACGAGGGAAAGGTAAAATTCAAAGTGATAATGGCCGAGAATGTTTTTAGCATTGAAGACATGTCCTCACATTGAAAAAAATGCATTAAGTTCTAAATAGAAAAAATAAAAACATATTTGCACCTACACTGTAGTGAAACTACAGAATGCTAAAGACAAAGATTCTATCTTAAAAAACCACCAGTGAGAAGAATAACTAGACTGATGAACTCCTAATCAGTAACAGTAGATTCCAGAACATAAGGGAATAAGATATGCACATTCTGAGGGTAGAGGTTTAGCTGCCTTTTCACTGATAAGGAAGTCCTTCTAGAATCAGGGCTTATACAACAACCTTACTTAATGATGTGTTCCTCATGGAGACCTACAGTCTATCTCCTTTCCACATAGATAACTGCTTATCTTATAATTGAAATGTGCTGACCCTTTGACCTAGCAATTCCACTTCTAGGGATTTATCTAAGGAAACAGACAATCATGCAAAGATGTACATAGAAGGATTTTTATTATAGCATCATTTATAGTAAACTTAGAAACAAACAGAAGATTGACGAAAAGTTATAGCATGTTCATACAATGGATTAGGTAAAAATGCTGTGAAGTATGAGATTCATCTAAATGTACTGACATGGACCATAAACACTGCTGCGTGGGAAAAAAACGTATTACTGAACAATGTAAATGTGATCCCAATTACATACTGATAAAAAGAGATTTTATTTTACTTTATACATTTTAAAATTGTTTGTATTTTTTACATTGAAAACATATTAATTTTAAAAATAGTAATAAAGACATTGTCATTTTAGACTATAAAAACAGGGAGGGGCATACCTCCGACTATCTTACGTTGTAGAGTGCTACAAATGTCATAAATACCGACAAACGGAATAATCTCTGAATACTCAAAGAATCTGTAACACTTTTGAAATGACAGATGTGTTTTGATAAATTACTATAAAAAAAATCTATAGAAAAATGAAAGCCTGCTTGCTCTTAATAAATCAACTACACAAGATATTTTCTTTTAATACTGAGTTCATTTCAGACCCAAAAAAAAACAAAAATAAACTCCTAAGCCCCATACTACAATAG